GAGACAAAACGAACGCACCATAATAACACTGTGATGCAGCACACAGCACAGTCTGTTGAATATTTGTTAATACGGGGATGTTTTTCACCGATATGCCTCCACACGTTCACACCTAAAAAACAGGTATCTACTTTAGGCTGGCAAGCAACTCCGGTGGAGCAAAGAATTACTCACACCCTTTGTTTTTACTGTGACCCCACCCTGCATTTCTACATAGGTTTTCCCTACCTCAGACTGTCCCAGTCGGTCCAGATTGGAGATGTCGAACACACCGCCCACAGCAGCGGTGTCCACACCACCCGTCCCTCGCTTCTGCAAACGCAGGTTGTTCAGGATCTTACTGAAGCGGGGATCCTTGGGGTTGGGGGAGAGAATTATTTTATACAGTTAATTACCTTATTACTCCAACATTTAACACACAAGAATCTTATAAACAATAGAGTAAACTGTTGCACAACATAATTTCAGTAAAACGTATTTAGCATTTTGTAATAGCCATACACAGCACAAATCTCGCAACATTCATGTGGGTCCATTATTTTCTTTGTTCTACAACTATTGTGTTACCTTGCTCAACAGGGGCAGTTTGACGTGGACCCCAGCCCTGAGCCCTGTGCCCAGGTTGGAGGGGCAGGTCAGGACGTAACCGAGTCTCTCGTTCCACATGAACTCCCAGCCTCTCTCCTGGATCAAACGCTCCACCTTAAAGAGAGAGAATGAGTCACAGCACAATAAATGTGTGTTTTATTCATACAATCGCTGACCTTTGGTATGTTGATGGATGTGTACATACTGTTGATACACAGCAAATTGTTAGTAGTAGCTGTTGGTTTTTAATTTTTCAAAGGTGACAGCTGAAAGAAAGGAGACTTGTTGACTTGTAGGACTGTTAAATGAACTCTGGTGGGAGAGGACAGACACAAACACTAGCATAGTGTTGGAGTTAAACTGACGCTGATGTAGCACTGAGCTGTTTTGTCACACCCTCAGTATGCAACAGTACCACATATTGAACTGCTTGTCCTTTGCTCTTTCTCTAATGGGGAACTTGGACTGCTTGGATAAATAATTTATGTTTGCACGATCGTGTTTGTACAGTGTGTTTTTGAGCGTGGCAGGGCAAAGACTAGTATGAGCAGTTTGCTTCTGCAAGGATACACAGTATACTTTTACACTGTATTAATGCCCTCCCCTTTGGATGATTATATCCCTACACACATCTGATGGCAGCTGGACAGACATGTCTGTTACAGCTGTGCCCAAGTGTAAAATGGTCCAATATGATCCAGTAACTTTTTATCACAACATGCAGAATTATGCACAACTGACACCAGACTCTTGCAAAATAATCACACAAGTGTGCAGTATGTGCTACAGTGCACATCAAACCCGTTGGTGGTTATTCAATATACTCCTTGTTTAGATGTGACATCCTGAGATGCAGTGGAAACAGATCTGAGTGAAAAATCTTAAGGCAATTAGAAGTTCAGTTTCCTCTTTCTCAACCCCACCCATAGTCTCTCTCTCATCTCAACATCTTAAACAACCCACACACATATACAAACACAGACTTACCTCCTTGAGGCCTCTGCAGAATCTTTCAAAGACTCTCTTCATGTTCCCTCCCTTCTCCATGGAGATGACCCTGGTGTGATCTTCCTCATTGACCCAAATCAGGAATGTCTTCTCATTGTTGTGCCTGCACAAAAGGAAGTTATATTGAGTTATACAGTATTGATCCCAGTGGGTTAAGGTTATTTGTCCTCTGAATTTTCCCCAAGTAGCAGTGGACAGAAACAGAGAGGGGTAACTTATTCTGATGCAGTAAACCAGCCAACTTGCAGACAGAGCTTTCTTATCTATAGTTTCCATATTGTATACAGTAATATATTTACTGATTCCAAATATATATGGTACTCCTACATAAATAAATATTTTAATCTGTTTTTTTCCAGACTGAATCAATATAGTTGAGATATTTTGGGAGCATGTTGGGAAGAAGTGTGTAGAATAAGTTAATAAGTAGAGATTGATGATGTGTTTTCTATATTAAGGGAGCCACGTGACATTGGTGAGTAGAAAGCCATTATCCATCACTCACTGACGATAATGCTTGTTTCTGCCACAGGTCATTGACTGCTGTGTTTCTGCAAGTGGTCTGCAAGGCTACACTGTGCTTACAAGACCTTGTAATACTGTACTGATTTATGACAAACTAGACACCTCATAAAAGTAAATAAAAAGTCAAATCTGTTGGATAGACACTGCACAACTCATGAGGATCAGTTTGTCAGCAATAGAGTTTGGTTTTCTCTGACATTTCTGAAAAACGATGGTATAGACATTCAGGGTCTTCAGAGTATGAATTATAAGGACAAAATCTAAATTTTTGTCTGGTGCCCTTAGCAGGTAAAACATTTCACTTTCACTCATATAACCTTTATTTAATCAGTCCCATTTATATTAAGATCTCATTTTCAAGAGAGACCTGAGAGCATATACATTTACTTAGGCAAGATAAAAATGGCAATATACTGCAAAGAAACACCAAAAGACCAAAATCTTGCTGTAAATATTCATGGTATGTTTTATATATTTATCATTAAGATTTTTGTCACCCTCTGACCTTCCCTAACTTCATAAATAATTAAAATCTGAAAAGCAAGTACAGGGACATTTGCTGAATGTGTTCATGCTCCCCAGAGGAAGCATCCATTAGATTTTGATGACCCATTTCCATTGTGAGCCACTACAGAGGCTTTTTGTCCATATTGACCTCCTTAATATTGTTAGAGATTTAATAAGGTAATGGATAGGTTATGGAGACAGCAGGTTTGGGAGAGAGACAGAGAGAAGGGACTATTATAAGGGTGGGAGGATGACAAGCAGAATTTAGAGAAAGTAGAGCAGAGCATATGGGCAGTGAAAAAAACTGCAGGAGAGGGAAAGAGAGAAAGCTGCCAGTTGACCTGAAAGAAGAGATGATAGAGGGATGAAGTGAAGGTGAATTATTAAGGGGAGGAGAGGCTGATATGGCTGGCAGAAGGAGAGAGGAGGGAGGGTGGTGATTGATTTTGGCTGGCCACACGTTGCATTGGGCTATTCCTGGGTACATGCTGAAACTCAGAGCTGAGGGAGAATGGTCTGCATCGCTAATACACCTTCACCGCAGCTCAGCAGCAGGGACATGACATTACTGGGGCAACCGCGCCAGGGTAGAACTGAATGGGGAAGTTAGTCAAATTAAAGATTAAAGATTTAAATTTTATTTACAGAGCTGTTGCATCTGAAAACTAAGATAGGCCTGATTTGGAACAGAGGGATAATGTTACATAATTCTTTGTTTGACCTGCTGCCAGTTTCAACCAATAGAGGAAAAGGTTCATACAGATCATAGTGAATTGAACTGAATGTTAATTTGTCAAAATGCTGGACTCATCAGCAAAAAGATATCCCCTGTCTCAGATTATTGACCATGCACCTCCTGTCAAAAATAACAATATTTTAATTCAAAGACAGAGAATCAGTTGGTCTGTGTATATTTATAGGGCATGAGGTCCTATGTTTCCATTAGACGTTTTACTTGTTTTCAAACAAAACCTTTCTCAGGAGTTCCACAAGGGTCAATCCTGGGACCTTTGCTTTTTAATTTGTACATGCTCCTGCTTTACAACAATTTAAGGAGATTCAGTGTATCTCACCATTCATACACTGATGTCACACATACTGTATTTCCTTCTTCTCTGGTTATTGCAATTTACAACATCAATTACTAGAGGCCCAGCTTAAATAATTAATACTGTATTGGGTCCTAAAAAAAGGTCAAAGTCAGCTTTAATGTCAATTCTTCACATGCACCAGACATACAAGGAATCGAGAGGACGTTTCTCATTCACCCATGGTGAAACAGATAAAGTGCACAGGCACAACAGATAAGAACAGACATTTCCTAATACTAAAATTTAAATTTAAACATTCAATTTCACAACAGACAATAAAATATAAAAATATACAATAATATAAAATATATGACAGGAAATGCATTTACACTTAAAGTGACTGTCTCTAAATTACAGTGAACAAGACAGAAACCTTATCTGGGGTGCTATCTAAACTATAAAAAGGCAAACAATATAACCAGGGCAACTATTAACTTGATATTGCTTCATACATAAAGCCTATTGCATTTAAGACTAATATATGCAAATTGTATTGTAACATGCCTTGCCTTGAAGAAGTTTTCTCAATCAGCCAGAAACTTGTATCATTGTTATTGTTTTTTCCACTTACCAGATACCACGGGCATCTGGCCAGTCACGAGCCATGCCTGCGCACGTCAGCAAGGGTGACACAGGCTTGTCAAACAGGAAATGGTCCTATTGTAAATACAGAGAAAAGAAGTTTTATCATAAAAGTGCCAACAATGGCTATGACTGAAGCAGTGAAAACTTACATTGGACAGTATTGTCACAGGGAAACGAGGGTGTGAGACTTGAGAATTCAACAATCTGGTCAATCTTTCTCATTGTGGGTAGAAGGAAAATGTCTTGGTAGGCACAGCCCACAACTATTTCTGATTATATCTGATGAATCTTTTTACCCTAGCCAAGTCAAGACAGGTCAATTTTATTTACATATCCTAATAAAAAATCACAAATTTGCCTCAAACAGCTCTACAATCTGTAGAGCACACACTACTCTCTGTCCATAAACACTTTATTTGGATAGAAACCCCCCCCCCTCAAAAAATAAACCTTTAACAGGGAAGAAATGGAAGAAACCTCACAAAAGCAACAGAGGAGGGACTCCTGTCTGAGGATAGACAGGCAGGCAATAAATGTCATGTGTACAAAATAAAGTAATAGTACAATGCACAATGTAAAATATGAACAATTTGAATAACAAAAATAAAAATAGACTTTAAACACATGTAAAGAATATAGATCGGAGGATGTCAAGCAACAACCTCAGCCACATCCACAGTAGGCTTCTTACCATGAGGGCCTATGTTTTCTTTATAGTAACCTCATTGCGAATCAGATCTGTACACCTAGCACTGCAATCACTTCGCAGGTTCTTGCTGTATTTTCAGATCCAGAAGGATTCTAACAGTTCTACTGACAGATCATGTGTAACCACTGCTGCCACTGTTTTAAAGTGACTAATTATATCACAGATGGAAATGTGCCATTTGGACGATTGTTATGCAGCAGAGTTTAGTGCTATGGACTAGAAAGATACTCTGGTGTCATATTTCACAAGAATAATTTGTACTGTAAGGCAATCGGCTTCTGTTCACCATTGCCCAATACAGCTATTATGGGTATGATGCATTAGTCTGTAAATAGTGTATGAATTTTGTGAATCCCTTTAAAACATTTTTTTCATGAAAACTGCAGGAAATCTTTTTCTTAACATTAAGTAAACTATAATTGTCATATAACTGTTTACTAAAACATTGCCGTTCCTTCCTTTTCCTCCCAAAGAATTCCTCTTATGAAAAGAAGCACAAATGCTGCAGAAGTACAGCAAGACAAAAGCGGTGCCTCAGTTATGTACCACATCTTCATCTACATCACTCACATCAATGAGTTGTTGCTGCTCCGCTTCTGTCATCTGGGTGAGACTGAAGTACCTCCCGGTAAGGTCACCCTTCAGGCCAGCGAGGGCGTCCACTACCACCCTCTCCACCTCCCTGCGCTCTGCTCGGGAGCAGGCGGGAGGCAGGCTCAGCCCTCGGATACTGCGACCCGTTCTCACTCGGGATGACAGCACGTAACGGTCGTCAAAGTGGCCCGACTGGAGCTGAAACAAGGACAGGAATGGAAAGTGTAAGGTGAGTGAAGGTGTATTCAGTTAGTTGCAATCTGAAAACTCACAACTAGAGGCCAATTACACTTTAAATATAGATGGCAAGTTTTTTTGTTGTTGCTAAGAAGCATTGAAATAAAGCCGGGTGAAAAAGACTAAGGGTCACTAAAAGAGGAAGAAGATTTTGTGAGGCTAGGCACTTTTGATTCTCACTTTATAAAAGCTTTAGGGTTTATTTTTTTCTCGAGGCAGGTTGAATCCTGAACGCAACCGTTCAGGAGCCAGAGCTAATTTGGTGGAGAAGGGTAACTTCTCTTCTTAGTAGTCCCTGTGTGGAGCCACGACTGCAGTGTTTTGAACCATTCATATCACTTTTGCTTACTATCTTGCCATCTCAGTTTAGCTCTTCACCAATCATGGATTTATACGAACGCTACGTTTATGAATGTGACTACAAAAAACTACAGCAAAAGCAAAACTTATTTTAAATTACATTTCGATGATCTCATAGTTTACATTTTGTAATGTTTTTAAATTAATTTATTTCATAAATATATAAAAAAAAAATATAAAAAAAAATATATATATTTCTTCCACATACCACTAGACTGAGCTTGCGTGCCACCAGTGGTACATGTCATTGGTAAAGGAAGTATGGGGTTTGGATTAAAGAGCAGTGAAGCAGAGCATAAATTAGTATCCTTGCTGGCCCAGCTTGGACTTAAGTCTGCTCCTGGCTAATGCTTGGTCTGGACAAAATGGGATACAGGCTGGCCAAATAAACAGGAAATCAGAATGTTTTGTCCCCATCTTTACAGAGACCTGCTCCATCAACATCAATACTGTAGTCTGAAGGGACTGCAAACATGAGATTTCTTTGTACAACCAAGTTCCCTTGATTATTTGATTATTGCTAAAAGTATAACAGGGAATAATTGTAGGAAGTCATCAGCCTGATGAATGAGACTATCTCTCTGTGAGAGTATTACCTTGCTGGAATCCAGGTCGGTGGGGTGCTTCATGGTGTTGGGATCATAGCCGTTGTGTCTCTCTCTGATGATAGGGTCCAGCAGGTCTGCAAATACCTTAAACAGACCCAGAATTTAACAATATAAAAATGTAAGACTTTTTATGCATTCATTTGTGTGCTGCAATCAGAATAAATATGTGACATCTGACATCTTGCTCATTGTGGGAATGGCTGAGTCTCTGTGAAGGATTTTATAAGATGTACAGTCTAGATCTGCTCTACCTGAAAAGGGTCCTGAGATCACTTCGGTTATGATTGGGCTTTCTATAATTAAAACTGAATTGAACTGAATTATCCACATCCACACAGGCAGAGGGTGTTTCTGGAACACAAGACTGTACTAAACCAGAACTACTGTGAAAAGCCCAAACCTCTATCTCAGTTCAAAACAGATTCTTTATTTTTATTGGTGAAATGCTGTTGATCAGGCAGAAGCATTTTCTTTTTTCTCTGTTCAATGTTTCCCTCAATCACATTTCAGCAGGGTATTTACAGGCATATTTTAAATCTTATGACACTTCATTACAGCTTTTACACAGGGTACATCAAATATACAGTACATCAAAGTTTTAAAATCTGTTTATCTGTTAATCTTTATATATATATATATATATATATATATATATTTGGTATATAGATTTTATAGACATATTGCGCAATGGATAAAGACTTTTACCTGGCTTAACCTCATCAGGGTACGCCATGGAAGGAGTATGAGACCCTGACATTTTGTAGAATCAGTATACATATGTGTATCAACATTTTGGCCTTAGTGGCTGCTGATGACAACAGCTTGGATGTAATAATGAAACAAAACTGCAAAAAAGACACAAGAAAGCAGAAATAGCACTAACTCATAATAAATGACTTTTGTGTCAAGTGAAATCTTTAGCATAATATTCTTCAGGGTGGTCAGGGGGCTGTTGTTACGATATAGTCCAGTCTATAAATCTATAATCTATATATCTATATCACAACTCTTTTCACACACTGTAGTGTGTAGTACTCCCTGTACTTCTGTCTACTTACCCGCAGCAATAATACCACACACATATGACAAGTTATTACCCTCACAGTCATGATGAATCAAATACTGCATTACATTTTAGCGATACTGCATGATAAACATTAGAGATATCAGCTAACACCAAAAAAACTAACTATAAAGACCACTCTGCCTGGTCACAACCTTGTATCCTGTTTAAAATGTCTTAATGTCTTGTAATGCACTTGGATACATTCAGTAGTGATGCAACCTGCAGTCTTCGACAATCACACATCTGCAGCCTAAATGCTCCCACTCATTGGTTTCTCATGATCCATAGTTAATATCAGAGTAAAAAATGCACTGACTACAGTAAGAAGTCCTACATATCTGTGGCCTCTAAAGGAAGTATGTGATTAAAATGGAAATATAGTTAGACACTCATTACAGAAGGACACTAAGGCATTCCAAAACAGGTGTCCTTGCCTAAAACTCCTCTGCTGTGCTTTAATACTCCTTCCTCAGAAACAGACTGGGAGGACTGGTTTTAGTTTTCCATTTACTTGACAGTAAATGGAAGTTAGGAGTGGACTGGAATGCAACTGTTTTATTTCAATCTGCAGAACATCTCTTGAAAGCGTGCCAGCTCCATACTGTTCACGCTTCAACTGTGAGGAGCTTGCGTGTGCATGCTCTAAAGGTACAGTGATGTCTGACCTCGTAAGACTCCTCGTCTCCTGCCACCATGCCAACAGTCTTGATGAAGGGGTGCCCGGGATTGTCCACGCCCGTCTGGATGGCCTGGTCCAGCGTGTAACCGTTGGGAGTGGCCTTATCACACAGCTTGGCATAGATGGCAGGTGTCAGGTTACTTGCCATGCAGTTGTTGTGTTTGCGCAGGTCAGGGTACTCCGCACTGCACAAATATAAATTCATGATAACATACTGCTGCTTTAATCTTTTGAGAGAGAAAAAAATGTTTTTAGCAGCGTGGGCACAGGTGCAGAGCAGGTGCAGAGTGAGTGACTCACTCCAGGACGCTTCCACATGGCACATACACTAGTAACTGGCTATGGGACACTTATACCACCAATAATAAAATGATATGTGAAATACACTGAAGACAGCTGAATGCTTTGGCTAGAAGCTGAAAAATAGCTTAAATGTTTAAGTCTTTGATGTATATAAGTGTCATTATTTGAATACTGATGGAGAAGAAAGCCTTTAACAGACTCCATCCATCTCTACTGTGTCTTTAAATGAAATATTTAGGCTTTCAGGGAGGCTGGTGTGGGACCAACAACAACAACCTGCTGTCAAAGATGGGCTTTTATCCAAACAGAATACATTCTTGTAGCCAAGGATGGAATGAAATTGGGTTTGGCAGGACAAAGATCAAAACTGCAGAGACTAAGTAGCTTATGGATTCCTGTTTGCTGCTGTCTGCCAAAATGTAAAGAAGGCTAACATTTCAATTTAAAACGACACATTAACTGTGTGTTATAATTTTTCCCAACTTAACAAAGTGCTCTGATCATGGCAGGATTTAATAATGCCAATGAATAGTTCCCTGTTCAGGGTTGTAGGGTGCATTTGTCCAAAGGGAAGGATGGATGGATGTAATCACTGTTTATTGGATTATTAAGGATTATTTGAAGCAATCCACTTATCAATCAAACATAAACCTGCTCTATTCTCTAATCCTTGTAACATATTCAATACCTTTATAACATTATTTGTGTTTTTATATTCTGATTTAAAGAACACAGTTATTCTCCTCCTGTCTTGACCCTCCAATGCAACAGCATAACCATTAAATCGACATTTTTTTTAAATTAGCTTTCTCTTTTCCCTAACATTATACTAGTTGTAATGATTAATAACATAAAGTTGGGCGTATCCCACTGGCACAATCCAGTGCATGCTGATTCCCTTTGACATTATGCCTTTTAATTGTATCAATAAGGGCTTGATAAGGGAAACCACAGCGCTGATGTGGCCTCAAGGTTGGCCAGCAGAGTAAAGACTGAGCTCACAGACTAATCTCCCAAACAATGCCAACACCTTAGTTGGCGAGTAATAGATTACTTTCTGTGTACGGGCTCTTTTGGTGTGACCGGTGTGTGACTGTTATACAACACTGTGTGCAGGGTTTTATATGTGAGCAGCAGATAACGTTTTACTAATCCATATATGCACCGCTTTATAACGCAGGCCGGCGTGTCGTGGGACACGTACGCATCACCGCCCCCCCGCTGTCTCTTTTATTATCCCACCCGCTCCCATTCATCCGCACAGTGTGTGTCATACTGCATACAGCACACACATACAGGACCAGAACAAATCCTCTGAGATCAGGTGCAAGCGACACCCTTCTGGTTCATTCTGGGAGGAAAATACCGCTCATATTTGTCTAATGATGGAAATTCAACCTCCACCTCACAATGTCAGTAACGGGTGTGAGTTTGTGTAGAATTGTGTTTCCTCCTTTTTTGCGTTAATTTTTGCGTCTATGTTTAATAAAACAGCCCTTTCGCACAGTTGCTCCCCCAAAGATTCACAGAAAAATCCCTAAACAACTTAAATAATGTTGAACATGCTATAATATGTCCGTTACATGATATAATATGCAGTAAAATGCTTTAATATGCAGTAACATGATATAATATGCAGTAAAATGCTTTAATATGCAGTAACATGACATAATATGCAGTAACATGATATAATATGTCAGTAATGGTGCGTTTAAGGTGAACGTTAACAGCTCGTGATTTAGGTTTGCATCTTATGCACCTAAGCATGAATGATATAATGTCACTGACATATTATAACATGTTACTAACATGTTATAGTATGTATAATCCCTATTGCTGTGACATGATATTACATTTTAATCTATTTCATTTCATATTCATGTTCTTTAGGCTGGAGATAGATTTAGTTTTCTTTAAATAGCTGTTCACGCTGGATAGAAAGATTATTTTCATGTTTCCGCCCTTTTTTATTTAATTGCACACAAACACAGATTTTTAATATTGAACAATATTTGACGCCTAATTTGCGCAGAGGACTTCACTTTATAACTCACCGGGATTTGTTATTTAACCAAACATAATGGCACACAGTAACGGGGGTACGGTTTACCTGGCGGGGTACCTCCTGCGGACCGGGACTCCGGCGCTGACATGTTCCCGGTGGAGCAGAAATGCCGCCGTTACGGAGCCTCCCACAGCCAACGACAGGATGCCGACGTTTCGTTTGGAGGACAGGATTCTCGAGAAGCTGCTGGCCATTTTGGTTTTCTTGTTCTGAAAAGATGTTGTTAAACTCCAGGGGACCACAGGGAGGAAGGGACCGGTGGACGGAGCGCCGGTGCTGAAGGGCCTCTGATGGAATGATAACGAGGAGAACGATTTAACCGGAGCGACGTCAAGACGGACGGAGACACACAGGACGAGGCCGGAAATAACGTCTGGCTTCAAAATAAAAGCAAAGGCTTGGCCTGTCTGTTTTCAAGTTCAAGTTTTTAAGCTCTTTAAAGACCTTTTTGGGTATTTTGAAATGAAATAGTCGGGTAAACACAGGTGTTACAAATTGTATGAATTAGGTTTTTTTCCATTCAGGTCCAACAGAGTCAGAGTGCTGCTTTTATACTGTTAAAAAGTCTCTGCTACACTAAATGAAGAAGAAGGAGAATATATACTTTATTAATCCCCAAGGGATTCACATATGTATAAGACTCACACAAATGGAACAAAGTGTAAAAATGTGAAATATGTCCTTCATCAGTGGTGAAATATAACTAGCCTATTCATACTACGGTATACATAAGTGCAATTTTGATGCACTTTAATGCACATTTTTGTTTATTTACTTTGTAACATTTCAACAACTCTTGACTGCTTTACATTAATTCACTAACAACACTTAGGCTACTGGTTACTTCACAGATTTATATTTTTCTTACAAACCGTCAGCTCATAAAATATGATACATTTCTGTAGATTAAATTTGCTCCACCTTGTACAGATCTGCAATACAAAGAATATGTTTACACTTGAATGTAATTATGTAATCTGTAAGGATACTTACACCTGACCTATATCTTTATATAAGCCTATAATGGTCACAACATGTATTTAAATAGGGTCTAAGCACATACTACATAAACGGTAGAGGCAGACTGATAAAGGGAGTAGACATGCAAAAAGGACACTTGCCAGATTCAAACAGGAGCACTGATATAAATCCAGACTACCAGGACATCCCAGCTCTGTCATCTTTAGGTGGAATAAAACCCTGTGGAGGTTGTTTACAGTACGTTATCTGACAGACTGGCGAGAAAACACTAGATTATAATGTGCTAAAAACCAGATAAATTTATTAAAAAGTTATTCCCTTTTGTCCCATTTTCTCCTACACACTATACAATCTACAGGAGTGCCCATTAGGGGTTTTATTGTGACATTTGCTTTGTGCAGGAAGTGACACAGCTTATTGTGTCGAGCTTGACGGTGGTGGAGAAGTGCGTGGAGTGAATACTGAAGGACATCAGTGAACAAGGCTGCAGCACTGGAAGGTTTCACATCACGCTGGACAACAACACTGAGTTACCCGACAGCCCCTAAACACACACTCACTCAATCTGTCCTGTTTCACACAGACAAGGATAAGTGAGCTTTTTTCCTGCATTAACATTTTATCACAAAGTCAATGGAGTCATTAAAAACTGCTGCAACTTCCTCATAACGATGCGTCACCGCTGACTGAGAAATAAGGTTCATTTGTCCAGTGACACTAAAGGTAACACAAGCAGGTCAACTATGAACTTCAATTAATCTTTATCTTAATTAAACTTAAAAATCTGATCTTTATCACTCACATATTCAGATTTATTTTTGTGGCTCTGCAGATGTGATATTACACACCTCATATTTTATTTATGATTCTTTGTAATAAAAAGTATTTCCAGTAAGAATTCATTATAACATCTTGAAGTTTGGCTCCACAACCTCAGATCAGTCTTCCACTTACAGACTTATCCAGACCTTCCCGTCACATGTTCGATACATGGTGTTGATGCACGTAGGCTGGATAACTATACAATATGCTATAATGTGCATTATTTCTGTCAGTTATTGTAAAAATAAACAAACAAAACTATGGCACTGTGCAGTCACAGACAACTCAACTTTACAGTGTCCTCGGCAATAACTAGCTTCCAGACAGAGGCCATATTGTTTATATTCAGCCCCTTGAGTTCGTTATGGAGGATAATTCAGTAATCTGTGGATTAAACAGGAAATAGTGGGCATACAGTACTCAGATCAGAGTTCATGTTGCATTTCTGTACGACAAGGAATTAGTTTACAACACACACACAATGTATTTGAACTAATAATGTAGTTCTACTCTGCTGAACTTCAACCACCTGCAAGATAAAAAAGAGAAGAAGAAACAACAATAGGTGCTACTGGGAAAAAACCTGCTGTTGTACATTTACAGTGAAAATGTACTCACTTTTATTGTTTTACAACACTGAAACACAGCAGATGTAACTATGTAACTTTTTTACATCAAGTTAAGTAATAAACACATTTCTACACATTTATTCAAATTAAATATAACACAAATGAATTAAAGTATTAAATATCGAATCCCCTTTACTATTAACCAAATCATATTTGTGAAGCACATTGTAACATAATAAGATCACCTGTGTGTAATCAGGGTGTGCCAAGTGATTAAAGATTAAATACACCTGTATCTGGAAGGTGGTTTCCTCAGAATACAGGAAGGTCAATCGTCAACAGTGTCACAGCTGTGAGGGAGGCCGCCAAGACGCCTGTGGCACAAACATCCACACCATGAAGCTGGTAACAGCAGCCTCATGCTGTGGGGAAGGTCCCAGAGACTTCTGGAAGTACACTAAAGTACAAGAAAACAATGTTAATCCTGTGGAGAAGCCAAGTCGGAGTACAATCCATTATTTGTGGCAGGATTTGAAAGCTGCCGTTCAGTCATAGACTTCCAGCTAACATCACAGAGTCTGAGCAGTTCTGTACATAGGAACAGCTGAAGACTCGCAGCGTCCACACTCGCAAAGCTGATACAGATCAATCCGGACTAAAGGCCGTCACTGCTGCCAAAGGACCTCGACTTGAAGAGAGTGTACTAGGGTAGTCTTGTTTCATGCATGTAATTAATTTAGTAAACATGTCACTTTGACATTAGACTCCGTTTTGTCAGTGTCAAAAAATACGTATCTACAGCGTTTCGACAGGCCTTTTTCACAGCAGACTTTCGACCTGTCATAATACGAGAATCACAGGCGTTACTAATAACATTAACAATGGCTCTGTTGTATTCCTGTAAACCAAGACAGTGTTACTGAGCCAGCATGCTCAATCCCAGGAACCTGAAACCAAGCAGCTAAATATAATTTTATTTATTAAGTCCTACTAGGACATATCAAAATGTCTTTCATGAACAAGACGTGTGTTGGCGACTGGATAGAACAATTCTCAGTGTCGCTGCACGGGCCAAAATGAAGAACTACTTCAGAAACATGTTGGCATGCAGCCTAAACTGACATACAAGAACAGCACACCTCAGAGGCCACCTTACCTCACCTTATCAGACTTAACAATTCACACACCAAGCAACGAGAAGTTCTGAGGAGAACAAATAAAAACTAAAATTTTATAATCCTGATTATGTGATTAGGAATTAGTTATCAGCAGCTATTAAAATGTAATTCCCTGTGTGCAACAATCATTAATGCACCACCTACTGAAAGAGTTTTATAGTTTTACAGGACTGACCTTCAAGCAGGTAGGTGGTAACAGGATGGAAGTATCAGGTTTCCTTTATTTGCTGGCAGCTGATGAACTTGAATTATAAGTCACATTCAAGGAGTCACTCAGGGTTTTCTAGTCTTTCCCTACTTCGTCAAATATTTAAAAGTGTGAATCTTGACAAAGCAGCACAATTACAGGATAAAAACAAAAACATTTTCAATAACTTAAGTCAGAAAACTGATATTTATTTACATAAAACTTTGGCAACATAAGATATTTACAATATGACTAAATCAGTAGGGCTTCCCTTTTACTCAAAATCAAGTTTATGACAAGAACAAACAAACAAACTAATAAATAAACATGAATAGTATTTATACTAACACATTTAGGCTTCAGACTTGATTGTAAAATGACTGATTACTATTTGGAAAAGCAATGATGACGCATAATATCACCATCTTCCAACCTTTTAGCTTCCCATGCAGAAAACATGGCGTATTCTGAATGATAAAATCATTAGTAGGAACAGTAAAGGCAATTTTAAACATATTGGCAGAACTGCATAGTTTTTCCAACTCAGTGCAAAACCTATTTATAATCTTAAATCTTAAACTGTTCAGATTAAAACAAAATCCATTGGTTAGAACATGATGTCAGAATGAAAGGTGTTGGTGGAAGAGACTGAAAGGGACATTCATTCATCTAGAAAAGCCTTTCAAGTGGCGCTTGAAAGAGATCTTTCAGATCTGCCATCAAAAGCACTCCTCACAAAATATGGCTCAGAAAGACACAGCTTCACAGTGAAACACAGAGTGGACAATCCTTTTGCTGCTTTTACAGTCTTGTGGTTCAGTGAAGCAGTCTTTTCCTGCTGTACGTCTTCCCTGTGCTGGAGTGTCTCGCCGGCTGGCTGAAGGGAGAGAGCTCCACGTCATCAACGTCTACCCTCCTCGCCAACGCAGCCTCATCTACAAAATTTAAGGACATAATAACATCAGTTAAACACAATGAACTTGACATTCCCTTTACTGTTAGATTTCAGGTTGTTTGTTCACGTTCGGCTGTTAGGCCAGTGAAATTATGCTAGAGCTCTGACCTACTGGCTCACCTGGACAAGTAGAAAATAGGTTATTGATTAATCACTTCCACCAACTGTCCAGAACTTTATTTAATGACCAAAGACAGTCAGTTTATCAGTCTATCAATCAGTTAATCGGCTGATTGTTGCAGCACTATATGTGACGGTTGAGCGTCTTATTCCACAACAATGCACATTAATATGCTCCTACAACAGCCTCCGTTCTCGTGGGAATGTTTTCCTCAGGATTTTGGAACCCGGCTGCAGGGATTTGTTCCCATTAGTGAGGTGGACCACAGATGGCGTTTGAGGAGTTTTAGATCAGGGCTCTGTAAACGTCTTCCACATCAAACTGGGATACGATTTCTTTATGGATTTGGTTTTACACATCTGCCCCTAAAGTGAGGAGCACACTATTGTCTAACATATCAGTGAATGCTGCAGCATTAAAGGATGGGTTCTTAAAACAGCGGGCCCATATGCACATTGAAAGGATCACTGGTGTTACATTGGCTGTAAATATTCCTCCAGTGCATCGTGCACACACTCCTTCAAGCAGTTTTAATCTAAAGTCTGGAGAACAAAATTCACAGCCCTCAAAAAATGTATTCTAAAGTTCAGTTAAGGCTAATATGAGGCTTCAGCACTCTCAGACAATTCCCTTTTTGTGTTACTATCCCTCCACTGCAACTAAGAATAGAAACACTCAGGGTTCCCACTCTTTTTAAGAAATCGTTTTCCAGGTCAAATGCTGACAAACGGTAATCATTATTTAGGGGACACTCTGTATTAGCTCGCTTTCATGGAGTGCTTAGCCTTTCACACTACAGCCGATGTATTCACTTCCTGAACTGAGTTCAGTTTTTCTCCAACATGAATCTGGCCACAGCTCAGGCTAACATACAATCAAAATGTTCCAGGACAACATAGATTTTCCGGGACGCGTGGGAACCCTGAAACACTGTCTGGTGGAACAGAGATTTTTTACACAGAACCAGGATTGTAGATTTTGTCCACGGTTACTTGTAACGGCTGGAAGAAGGGATTTTTAAATGTCCAGTATGTAAAGAAGGAACAACTCCGGTGACCAAGTAACGTGACTTGTATTGTGTGACTGTATTATAGCCATAGCATTTGGCAGGTTGGCAAGCAGCCAGTCAGACTGTAGCGTCCAGCAGTCAGTGTCCCGTCCTGGTAATATATAAATGCTAAAGCCAAATAAACATTTGACTTTAGAAATTAGACAAATATTCACAGCATAGTATAGAACATAACAGTGGTTGACATCTGTATTAAAATGGATAATGTGTGTGTATACTAGTGGTGATTGAATACAGTATGCAGTACAGTAAGGTATTATCATATCATATATTACATAATAAGAAAACATGACTAACAATGTAGTAATTATATCCCATTTACAAAAAGATATGTAAATCAATCCTAAATTTTATATTGTAGATGTGAGGGTATGTTTTGTTAAATAGTGCCGTACGAAATTAAAAACGTAAGGACTGTATATCTCACCTTTAAAATTTGGCGTTCTCTTACTAGCAGAGCCTGTTTTGCCTTTGAACAACAACGGAGAGTGAGTGAGGGCCAAAATCCCACTCGCTGTCACCGGCTTCCTCACCTTGGAGCTGGGAGGAGTCGCCACTGTCAAAGGGGAGAAAACAGAAGTGACAAAATTATGGTTTTATTTTTGAATTTCATGCAATCATTTAAAATAATTTTTTTAATCTTAAAAGCCATTGAACATTTTTAAATGGTGTATCTTTAGCTTGGGCTAATTGGACAAAACTACAGCTACATGTACTGGTCATAGTTTTACGTCTGTGAACATTCTCCTGCTTTTTTCTCATATCATTGCAGGGGTTGGGCAATATGTTAGAATTTTCCAACATTCACCGATATATTTGCTCATGTGTGTGCTGTGCCAGTACACTGGCTCAACGGCTGATTTTCCTCTCCCTTGTTCAGCGGCTCAGTGTGTACTGAACTGAACTGAACTGAACATCTGTCCCTGAGTGGTTCTCTCGGAGGCAGACCATTAAATTAGCTTAATAATTTGACAGAAATCAGCCAAGAATTGGCCTACTGGACTCCCAATTGCCGATATATTCGTCCAATCACTCAACCCCACTGCATAATAAATATATGGCCAGAATGTATAAGCAATTTTAACTCAAAAATGAAAGTAACTTCAAGACCTTTAAATTTGTAACATTGTTTAAAAAATGACAAACATCTTTTTAAAGAACTTGTGAACCACAACTTACATGACTTGACATCTCCATTTCCAGCAGCCCAGATCATTTCTTCTTCGGCTGTCTGATCAGAACAGTCACCCTCTTGAGCCAGCTTCTCTATCCAGTACAAGTCTTCCAGTGGAGAAAGAGGAGATGCGTCTGCATCTGAGGGTAACTGTTTGGAAGTCAAAGCTATTATTGCAGCTTTGTTGTTTGAGGGCTCATCCGTGTCCTCAACGTCCTGCAATCTGCTAACTCCAAGCTCAGCTTCCTCAAGCAACTCCACCAGCAAAGGCTCGCCCTTAAGGCCACGATCCTTGCCTCCAACCACCCCAATCTGAGCTCTCTTCCTGCGAGGCCAGCTGTTGAGGTTGTCTGGGGTCACCTTCCCCACACTCTGAGGTGAAGGAGTCAGGGGAATGATCTCCGCAGTTGCAGCAGGAGACATCGTTCCTCCAGGATGGCGTGTAGGGGTGTAAGACTGGCAGATGTAAGTTTGGACGCTTCCACCTTTTCCAGGCGTGCTCTTGGCCGGCGTGACATGAGTACACATAGACGGTGAGACGCACCCAGGATCCCTGTGCTTAGAGAACAACGTCAAAGGGCTTTCCAGCTGAGAAGGTTTCACACCAACTAATGGGCTCTGAGCTCCTGAGACCAAATCACCCGCATTCATCGAATCTGTGCGTTTGATTTTGAGCTTGGGAAGTCCTGATGTTTGCATTTCCATTTCTACTTGGTAAGTCAGAGGATTCGGAGTACCCACGCCCTTTTGTCGACTAGTTCTTGCTGGGCCTCTAGGGGTTGAAAAGCGAGGAGATTCATTTCCGTACCCCAAACGAGCAGCTGCCTCCCTCTGTTGGCGGTCTGGGGTCTGCCGGAAGCCGTAGCTCCGGCTGGGTGTGCCGTGGGGTGGCACACGTGGTTTAGGAGAGGCTGTGTTCGACAGAAAGTCTTCACCGGACAGTGAAGGCTTCCGTGAGAAGCTAATGTTCATCTTGAGACCTCCACTAAACTGGGTCTTAATAACTGCAGCACTAACAATGTCCATACTCTCATCTTCTGTGGATCCAGAGTTAAAATGTGAAGAGTCAAATTGCTGTGAATCTGTCTGGGAACTGGAGTCCGTTTCATCCTGTGCCTCGTCTTTTGGATCTGACTCTATGTTCTTTTCCACAAGGTCACAGTTCTCAGCAGATTCTGTGTTTAGTTTGGAGGCAACGTTCTCACTAGACTGGGATCTGAGGTTAAGTCTGGTGGTTCTGGCACCCTGACCAGACCTCGTTCTTGTCACAGACTTTGCAGGAGACTTTCCTGAAGTACCTGATCTTTCTGAAACAGTACCTCCTACTGGTGTAAACACTGACTTACATGGGGATGCAATGTTTGAACTTTTGGATGGAGTTCTCCCAGAGCGAGTATTAATTTGGTAAGTAGGACTGGGCGTCCTTGTTTGAGTTTTAGTGTTGGGTTTAGGTGAGAGGTAGTGGTCTAGAGGCGGTGTAGACTGTGGAGGAGGCATTTCCAGTCTACTAACAGTGTCACTTTTTTCAGGTGTTTTCATCTGTTTGTGAAGTTTTTCAGAGGACCTCTGATTTTTTTCCTTTGTCAAAATAACACTATTTGCATTTTCAGAAACCCTTTCAAGGCTTACTTGACAAGTCTTTTGGGGGGTCTTGAAAATGTCTCTTTTAGTGTTTGTGCTTTTGACAGGACTGTAGAAAGTGTTTGGTGTTTTCAACAGTCGAGGAGAAGTGCGGGATGCAATACTAGACGACTCTGGCACCTTGAAAGCAATACTGTTTTCTGCCACGCTACATTTCCGAGGGGATGGCGACCATGTGACGCTCTTCTTGGGAGTATTAGAAAATGGGCTACTGAGCAGACGTATTCCAGAAGAGGAGCGGCATTCGATCACGGCCTTGACCGGAGTCCTGAGAATACCCTTCAGTGGGCTCATCACTGGGCTCTGCTTCGTAGGTGTCTCTACCACAAGAGTCTTTCTGGCTGGAGATCTGAAAGGACTGCCCCTCAGAGCCATACCAAGCTCACGAGAGCTGCCAGCAACAGGGCTCTCTGGAACAGAGAAAACATGCATCCTGGAAGAAGGAGGAGTTTTAGGGGTCTTTGGGGTTCGAGGGGTCCTGGGGGTTGTGATGCCGTGGATGGCCCTACCACATCTGTTGGGTGATTTCGTTGGCGTCTTATTTGGACTCTAAAAACACACACACAAAATAACAAAATAGTAATTAAACCTGTAATAATTCATTTCTTTGACTACTTGGGGGCAGCGGAATCAAGCTGTGAACACAAAATCGACATATCATTAAGGGTGTTCTGATTGATCGGCAGTCTCTCTGAAGGCCGACCAGATAACGCATCATTATTATCACTTGCATGCTGCCCGGTATAGTCAAAGTGCCAATGGCATTTGTCAGTAAGTTAAGAAAGGAAATCAGTGTACAATCACTTTACATTGTGTCCAGAAATGTTTTTTTAATATGATTGTACAACTTTAAATTGACTGTGGTAGCACTTATTTGCAGATGTTAAAATACTTTAGGTAGTAAAGTAACTAATGCATGGGGCGTGTTTGGTGAACCATAATAATAAAATCAATAAAAGTGAACTTACCTCAAAGACACTAGAGTCTGTGGACCTTTGTGACCTGGTGGCCCTGGTTGCAGGATACTGGTCAGAAGGACGACTGGGGGAATCAGCTGCCCCAAAGAGAAGGTGCCTGGGAGACCGAACTGTTTTTACATTAACCCCACTGATTTTGCCATCACTGAGTGTAAGCTGGGATGCAGAGAGAGCCCTGTCCAGGTTGCGGGAGCGAGGTTGAGAACTTGAGTAGAAAGTGTTTGTGTGTCTTCTAGCAAACTTCTTTATCCTTGGGCTCCTTCTTAGGTCTGTATCAAAACCAAAGCACAAAAAGACTAAGTTACAGAGAATGCTTGAGTTGTGTTAAATTGTAAAGAAAAAAAAAATCTAATTACAATATACCAATGTCAAATGTCAAACAAAATACATTTATGGCAATTATATTCTATTTTTAAAGAAAATATGTTTACTTAAGTCAATTGCTGTATGCAAGATTAAGTTTAAAATTAATGTGAGCTATTTTATTACAAGATAAATGTTCATTAAAATTTTAAAATAGAGTTAGGGTTAGCCCCTACAAAAGCCATACAAAAGCCCCAAGGTTCCTGCTGTGTTTATCTGCGATTTGTTTCTTAATTTCAAAAGACAACGCATACTTTTGTTGTGTACGTAAATACACGTGTGGGTGTGAAAAAACAACAAAAACCAGTAGTATCAGTACAATACCTTCTGCAGGTTTTACTGGTGACTCTTCCACAATGCACTCCTCAGTTGGGACAGATCTCCTTAAAAAGAATAGTCAAAAAACACAAAGGTAAACATTTAATCAAAAATAATTAGCAACTGCAGACAGGGGTGAAAGTAGATTGACGTTCTTGCCGTACTACCACCCTTCAGCACTTCATATTTTTCTCCTCACACCCAGTGCTTACATTTTTTTAACTTGTAGAAAATGATATGATAAATGATGCAGAATTAGGGATTGTTGACATAACTTGCAACAATGCAATTGCAACAACAACAAAAAACTACAGGTACATTAAATCAAATGCACCCTTCAGCACTGTGTGTTTAGAAAGTAAAGATGCACACATGCACTGTTATCATGCCAGAGGTAGCTTATCACATGTATACAAACATCTTGGCTTATTTTGTCATTTTACTTAAGATTTTTGTGAGAATCAACCCACAGCACTCGACTGTCAGACAGCCAGCTGCAGCACAAGTTGATGTTAGCCAGCAGTAACTACAGAGTTTTGGAAAGGCAGCAGGGGTTTTCTCCAGGATGAAAAACCCACAGCTATGTGCGAGGCACAAACGCACTGGAACAATTAAGAAGCAATTTACAAGAAAACTAACTGTTGTTTATGTTGATTTAACTTTTGCAGCTGTGTTTGTTATTGTACCAGAACTTACTGGCCGACCTTCACCCATGACTGCAGATGATTTATGGATCATACAATAAATATAATTTTTAAAGAATGGAAGAAAATGCCTCAATAAGGCAAACTATTGATAAACATACCTTCCCATTTTCTGCCGATAAAGGAGGCGACTGGACACTTGCTTGTGATGGGGTGTTTCACACACTTTCTTTGTTAGAAGTTTGTGCCTCTCTGAAAAAGAAGAATTTCCTTTTAGATAAACTGTTGGTGTACATTGGGACAAACTATCACTGAAAAATACACTAAACTTATTTCTATGTAACTGAAAATGTAAAAGTGAGTATCTTAAATATATAAAGTTTCAATTCCTCCTTTTATAAACAGTTTTTCTCTCAATGCATTGGGAATAATGAATCTGTTTACCTTCAGATTCATTAGATCGCTTGCGTTTTAATCCATCCACAGCGGATACAGACTGACTCCTCGGCAGCTTGGCTCTCTTTGAAGGAGAAGTAATCTCTTCGTTGAACAGGTTTCTTCTCACCTTCGTCACCTCTGTGGACAATCAGAACATAGTCTGTATTTAGTGCTCTCCAGTGAACATATTGCCTACTGTTAAATTTGACTACTTTTTTCAAAACAAATTTCAAGGTGTCAAAAGGTGATACTGCGCCCAAAATGTATCATTAGAGTATGAACCAATATCTCCCTGTCAGTTTTAAAGGAGGATTTAAAGAGTTTATGGTTTGCTTATTTGTGAAAACAGTGACAGGTCAAGCTGTCTACAGTCACTGTTCTTGATTAAGGATCAAACTACAACCATTTTATAATCACTAGAAAAGTTGAGATATATTTTGGTGTGGTGCTGGATGTGAAGTCAGATGTAAAACAGAACATACCTTGTGTTTCTTGTTTCTGTGGTTGTGGTTCTGCAACAGGCTTTTCCACAGCCACACAGACCTTTGATTTGGACTAATGAAAACACAAAAACACAAAACATTTATTGTAAGATAATATATGTACAAATGTCATTTCAGGTCTTAGTTGGGTGATCGTCTTCACACAGGACAACACAGTAAGCATTTGAGAAGTCAGACAATCGGTAACACAGTAATTCCTTTGAATGACTCCAAGCAGGTCAGACACAACAAATAGAGATATTATGAAAAGTCTAGTTAAAGGTTTTATAATAACCCAACAGAGATATAAGCTGTGGTTAATTATCTATGGTTATCTTACAGCTCTTGTAGTCTTTTTAGGCATCTCTATTTGGCGAAGACTCTGTGATGATTCAGTCATACTGCGATGACGGGTCAGCATCCCAGTCCTAAAATAAAACAGAAAAAAGGTGGGAAATTTTTTTAAATCTTGAACCTATAGCTTACAAAATATATAAAACATGGCTAGACATGGGACAATACGTACATTTTGTGATATGATTAGGCAAAATAATTGCGATTCTGCGAATATTATCAATCATCATCAAAAACATACTGAAATCACTTTAGGTTTGTAAAGAAAAAGAAGACGTTTGTTGCATCAGTTAGGACACCTCAGATAGGCACCTCGTATTTCCACACATCCAGTTTAACGTTTTTGTTGGGGATACATTGGGAAAGCCGAGCTTCAAGACATGGTGACAGGCTTAGGATTTTAGAAAGATGTGGGCTCCCCACTGTCACAATTCCAAAATAAATCAAGAAATCAATATAGGCTTTTTAAAGTCACTCACGTGAGGATATTCTTAATTAACCGATAATTCAAATCCACAGCAATATGTTTATCTGAGTGTTTTTAACTGAGATGCGCAATAATATATTGTGACATTTCTATTCATTCCTAATCATACAACTGAAAATGTTTCTGAACACTAAAAATCCAATGACTACGCTTTAATTCCAGTTACATATGCTCATCTTCACTCTACAGCCTCCCCTCACCTCCTCTTGTTGGCTGAGCGATTTCGCAGGTCCTGCAGGCGATCTTTGCCATCAGAAACCAGGCTGTGTGTGGAGAGGGGAGGTGAGGAGGCTGAAGGAGAAACACTGTCCTTGGCAACTGATTCGTCGCTGAAGAAGTCAGCAGGTAGAACAGCCACCAAAGCCTCAGGTAGTTGGGTGCCCAGACTGTGGTAGACGTCTGCAAGCACTCTGGGAACGGCGGTCAGAAACCTGCCATGTCACAGAAAGACTATTGTTAGATTTTACCTATAGATGAGAAATATTAATGGCAATTGAGAAACAAAAGTACAGGAAACTCTAAATCATCAGTTTTTAACTAAATATATAATTTACAGTCTTTGTTTTCAAACTCTAAACTTTGTATCCAGCAAAAAAATGACCAAGAATACCTTTATTCTATACTTTTGCTATTGTTTTTTTTTTTATATACTTCTGTGGAATACAAACAAATGCAGCCCTACACACTTACCCTGGGAGGACCTCATCTTGAAGAAACCTTGCTAGGAAAACTGGGTCTTTTGTGAGGGAGATTATCCTGAGCATTTCAGCCACCTGAGGAACAGGAGAGGTTATTGTTTATTTTTGCTCTATTGTGCAACCAGTGGAGTTCAAGACACAAACTTTGCTGGTCAAAATGGTTTGAAACTTAAAAAATATAAATTAAATGTTGGAATATTTAAATACAATTGGATATCTAATTATTTTACTGTGATTAATAATGTAGATGATGGGTATGTCACGAGAATCAATACCTAACATTCACGGCCTAACATTATGAGCACAGAAGAATTTAAAAAGTGCAGCTGCAGCAACAGCTCCAGCTTGACTCGTCGTTAACAAAAACAGTAAGACCGTTTTCACATATAAACTCCAAAAAACTGGTCACACATGTTCTCACATATTGCAAATAATCCGTTTGATGTAGGCGAGAGGTCCCACTGGCAGTGTGTAGGAGGAGGACTAATCTGTAATGATGACTGCTTTTGCATTGATATCAATACAAAGCAAGTCTCAAAATGACCACACACCCCTAAACTAGAACTGTGATAGAAACGGGGGGCGGAGAGATGCTTTGTGGTGCGCTGGGATTACATAACTGAACTATGAGCAAGACACAAACACTGTGTGGAAATCGGATCACATCACAGATGATAAAGAAAGGGATTCAAACGTGAGGTAAAAAATAGACTGATGTAGGCTGATATTGATTGACAGCGAGTCTTTGAAAATGAAACGATCAACTAAAAGGGAGGAAAGCAAACAAGCAAGCAGAAAAGTACATTGAGTATTTGTTTCTTCTGTTGTTTTTTTTGTAATGTTCACAAGTTTTAATAAAAGGGGTGTGTGTTAAAGTACATACATTTCTGGTATTGTGACATCACTAATAGACAACTAATCAAATATGGCAAACCGATGACAGCACTGACTTTTAAAGAAAACAACATACTGTGTAACCACTGTTACTCTTCTTCAATTACATGAAAAAAATACATTTAAATCAAAAATAAAAACTGCACTAAGGACTCAATAGTGCCCATCTTACCTCCTCTACCATCTGATCAACATCCAGTGAGTCAGACTGCTCTGAGGAAAAAAGTCTGCTCAACTCCAGTCTCAGCAACGCCTGAAGCTGGCACCTAGAGGAGGGAACACTTATATATAAGTGACTTGACTTTAGAATAGCATTACTTTATTAACTTTTAATTCTCAAGGAGGATGGGCACATGTCAATGGGAGTTTCAAAACATTTCACAAATGTCTGAGAGACAGTATAATCACATCCAGGTGTTGAAGCGGCTGGAGAATGTGTGAGCTTTACGTGTTTAAATGACTCTAAAAACAAGATAACAAAGAAAGGTAGAAAGAACTCACTCTCTGACTTTGCTATCAACATCAGCAACTGTGCTATAGAGCTGCCTGATTGTTTTGCTGGTCTTGAGGAGGTGCTGCTGCACAAACAGGGAGATCTTTACCTGCAAAGAACACATAACATATTATGAAATGCAAATTAATAGTCCAATTGTATAACTGGGCTTTAATGTACTTTATGTGATGCACTGAATGCTTAAAATTTCCGGATACAAAAAGGTTTTGCATCTTGTATCGCCACCTTGTTAATTAACATTTAAATCAATCTATCAATTCATCCACCATCAACTAATAATAACCAGTCTGAAGCAAGAATGAAACAGGTTAGAATCCTAAAATACATTAAAGCCGCCATGTGTCTCACCTCCAGGTCTGGTTCTACGAGAAGAAAGGTTTTCAAAGCAGACAAGAGCTGCTGGACACCAGTGAGGAGGGACGAGTCTCTGTCTACCACGGTCTTCTCGTAACTGGACTTCAGATGGGACAGTAACTCTGCCTCACTAGTAAAACCTGGACGAAGGGACATGGTACATTAGTGAAATTGCAAGAAAACAAATAAGCATATTTCCCAAAGTGTCAAACAGAGAGTGAATGTTGTAAAGTTTTAATGGGCACACTCACTGACGGTGTTCGCTCCATTAGATTTGTTCCTGTCACTTGACCGTCTCTTCCCCTGTCTGTCTGGCCCCTTGCCCTCAACCCCGACCTGCTCAGCCTCAGTCTGGTTCTTTTGGGCTTTGACATTCAGCCGTGCCACATTGAGCATCTGCAGGGAGCGGCTCATGGTCTTCATCTTCTGTTTCACTGGTGTGCGCTGGGCGCCACCTGTAGATCAGAGATGGGAAAGAATAAGAGAAATGTTTTGTGCTTTCACTCAGGTTAAGATCTTAACAACAAACAAACACTTTACTTGTAAAAGGTGATTCCCAATATCCTACATTTAACTTAAATACTTTTACTTTACACATTTCACAACCTTCATAGAAACTCTGCAATATGCACAAACATTGAGACGAGGTTTTCTCACGTTTTTTGCCCCTCTTGTCATGTGCACCCTGGGATGTTTGATACAATTCAGCCAGACCACTGATCAGCTCCTGCTGTAGGACAGAAAACTCTTCTTCTTCCTTTTGCTCTGGCACTGCATGCAGCAACCTGTCCAACAGAGTAAGCAAAAGTTCAGGACCATATGTCATATTTTGTGCCAAGTTTGTTTTACGTTGCCTTTGATTATTTATTTGTTTATTTATATCTTTCTAACAAGTCTTGCTTCAAAAGCACCATATAAAAATTACAGAGAAATCTCAAAATCATAATCATTCTTACCTCATTGACTCCATTAAGTGGGAACTCACTCCTGAGTGGTCTGACTGTGGGAACCAACTCTCCAACACACCTGTTGTGAGCGGACAATGGCTGACTTCCTGCTGAGCCCACTCGGGAACCTGATGATGCTTTGGCTGGTCTAAGGAATAGACGCAATAAAACCGCTATAAATCCAATACAACGTGCATTGGATATAAACCTATACTGCTACCATCTCACATTTAAAAGTCTCTAACATTTTCAGTTTCATTGAGGCGCACACATAGATTAGAACCATAAAAATACAAAAAAGGCAGGAACCGAGGGATCTATCGTTACATGTGAAAAAAGAAAATGACATCATACAATCCTATTCAAGTATATTAAATGTAACACGTGAACTGCGCACTGTTAACAGCTACGAGTCAACCTAAAACATTTTGCTCAAATAAACTCTAAATGTTGGAAACAATGCATTGACAGAATTACTGATAAATCCAGGCACACATTTTCCCCAACATATGCTTTTGATGTTTTGAATGCTGAATATTACTATTGTATCCTCACCATCAACACTGTCCCTATCCTCCTCCATTATATCATACACTACTCCGAGGACACTGCTTACAACATCTGGCAGTTCAACTGAGCTTTCTGTTGTGGCGGGGGCAATGATTTCGGTGTTAAGGAGGTGGTCATGCTGAGTTATTCCAGACTCGAGAATGGTAAGCAGAGCTGTACAGTGTGACAAGGGGGAGAGGACAGCTGAGGACACCAGGCCGCTGTCATTCACCTCAGAAAGCTGGAAAAACAAGACAGGAAAAATTAATCAGTAAATGCTCACAGAAAACAAAATTAAACAAATAAATAATAATTTTGCTACTCGACTCTGGGGGACTGGCATGAAAACCTGACTGTTGATATGTTGATTATGATTTTAAGAAAAACTACATTATTAAACTCTATTGTATTATAGCAAAACAAAATGTTTTTGGAACTGAAAAGCATATCACAAAGACCTGTTGTATTTGTTGTTTTCCAAAGAAATATTTGAGTCCAAACTTTGCTGCAGTCTTCATGTCGTGGGTGTGTTGTTAATTGTATTAAAGAGTAGAAAACACCAGCATATAACCAGACCAAAGTGACATCTGCAGGTACAATTACATACCATTTAATGTGCTGCAGCTGAGCAGCTAATTAGCTATTAGCAAAGTGATGCTAGCAGTGTGTTTTCATGGCAAAGATGCGTTTGGTCACTCTCCCAACGAGAAAAGTGTGCTCCTGTTTGTAAGTTAGACAAGAAGGGGGCTTTAGCAGAAAAGCTAATGTGGATTGTTGTTGGTTCAAGTCTGTGGCTCTTGTGTTGTGTAGCAGGCTGCTGTATGGCTCAATGTGACGGTGCTTCCTTGGAAAATGAAAGAACACGGACTGCTTTATGTAAGATTTGACTGGCTGCACTGAAATAAGGTCTCCATTGACGTAGATGACTAAGGAAAACAAAGGACAAGTGATTCACAGAGCAGATATATGCTGTAGCAGACAAGAAAACTGATATATAATTTCAGCCTCAGCTAGGAGAGCTGTACTGCATCACTGAACACACACAATCTGCCTCACCATGTGCAGAGCATGAGCAGACAGCTCCATCAAGAGATCCTGGAAGACAGCCGCTCCCTGATCATTGCTGCTGGAGCACTGAAGTACCCACGACTCTGTGGAGGTCTGTGTCAGTGAAGAGGCATCCCAGCCCTGCAGCACTGCTTTCAGACACACTTCTACTGACTCTGGGAGAACCCTCTGCCTGCGAGACGCTGGCTCAACACTGATGCCACAGCTCTGTGTCACATCCCCTGGTTGGGTGGGAAAAAACACAACACATAGACAAAAAAGGCAGATCATGTTGGAAACTGTGTTTAATGTGCTTAATTTAAAATCATTAACAGGTCATTTATAGTGCTCTAATAATTTCCACTTGAGAGATAGATTTAGTTGACTTTATAAGCTTGTTTAGTTTCTTTTGACAAAAGACACTTAAATATGTTTTCTCCTGATTGGTGTTTCTTTTACACCGTGTTTTATTTAGGCAGGTAAATAATTGCAAATAAAGTAAAATCCTAACACATGTACACTATAATGTCTCAATGTTATTTAGTACCTGTATTTAAACTACAGATCACCTGAATATCTTCAACAGCCGCACTGTTTCAGGCATGTTTGTGTTATAAAAGATGATAATAAGCGTTCTCTTCCATGTTACCAACCTTTCTCCCACCGCAGAACACCGCGTAAGGCAGGAAAAGCCAGGCGGTAAAGCTTTTCAGAAGACAGCAGGTATCCAATGCTGGACTTGAATGCAAAGGCGTCTTGAGAGCAGCAGAGATTCAGCAGTGCAACCACAGGGATCACTCTGCCACCCACCTGAGCCAGGACCTCCGACAGCTTGTCAAAGCCAAGGTGGTCCTCACAGCCCATGACCTGCCATAAGACCACATATCAAAGTTGCTTATGTCAGTGAAAAAGGTCATTTATTTTATTTTAACAGCCGCGTTGGCAGGTAAACTATGTGTAACTAATGACTGGATGTTGTTTGTAGCAATTCTAGATGTCACACAGTTAAACAGTGAAGAGTTGCTGGTTAGTTTGGTTTTAAAACATCTACAAATTGTATTATCCCAAAAGATCATGTTTCTGCGACACAATATATATAGCCAAATTATTTGTTATCAACGCTGTTTTGTCCAAATTGTGCAGCTCTTGTTGATGCCTTATGATAACACACTTGACTGCTTCAATACTCTGTGTCAGTGGTGTTTAAACTGGGGTCCGGGTACCAAAATGGGTCTTTGTGTGTGTTAAAGGGACTCATTAACAAAAGGAAGAAGAAATACGGTTGGCTGCTTTTACTGACTGTAAATTACAGTGATAATACAACATGTAGTTTGATCACTGACTGACTATAAATATTATTGTCTTCATGATGTTTTGAAATCCTCTCCAACAGGGGGTCCATGGTGTAAAGTTTGGGAAGCCCTCACTCACCTGGACATGTGATCTGCTGTCAATCCAGTGCAGAGCCACCTGTCGCTGAACCATCATGTCCTGAAGGCCCTTGGATAGAAGGTGCTCTGTCACGTCTGTGGGCAGGTCCTGGTGTCCCAGACAAACATAGTCCACCAGTTGTGTCTGGGAACGGGGACACTGCGAGATGATAAACACCACATTCCTCCCGTGGCTGGAAATCTCATCCTCCTGTGAAACACTTGGCGCCCCAGCTCGAGTGGACCTCCTGGGCCTCAGGGACAGTTTAGTGGGAGAGGTGATGTCGGGTCTGTCCCACTGGAAGTCCAGCAGTGTCTCTTTGAGTGCGTTTTGCAATGAAGCAGATTGACTGGATTGCTGCTTCTGGCGAGAGGGGAATGGTTTGACCTTCACTTCAAACTTTGCTTCAAATTCTGTTTCAAAATCCTCAAAGGTTTTGTGGCGAAGCTCCTTGAAGTCTGACCCCCTTGATATGAGCCGGGCATTACGGCCAGTCTTTGACTGAAAGAATTTAAAACCCCAGCGCACTTTGTCAAATCCATACTTGCAGCTGAAATGCAGCAGAACTTGTAATATTCCTCGTTTCACGAAATGATTCCTGACATCCAGCTGATCGCTTGACTCGTGATCTCCATAATCCACATCAATAACAAAAACCAGGTTGTGTAAAGCCATCCCGTCAACTACAGCGAGAGCCCGCACAGCCTTTAACTCAACGATAAGCCATGAGAACAGATGCAACAGTAGTGAAGTCCGGCGGGTTGTTCATTGTGTGTGGACGCCATTTACAGCTGCCAACATTACACATTACACATTACGACCCTTCATGTCTCTGCGACGTCCAGCTAGCTGGTAACGTTAGCACCCAACACTCAAGTTAGGGTACTTACAGGTTAGCTCCGGCCTCTGTGACACAGATAATATAGTCCACTGTTGTAACCGGCGGCAGTAAACAGAAAGACTTTTTCTTAAGCAGGTCGTATATATCGCTTGTTTAAAGTTTCCATATAACGTTATTCTTGTACCTACAGACTTCTTGTATTCGCCATTTTCTCGTCGCCGTCTGTCCTTAACCGTTCGCGCTCCTTTAACGAGAGCCCGCCCCCTCGCTGTGATTGGTTACATCCTTAAACACAACAACCTGATTGGTCCAAAACGAGGCATGAACTAGCCGGTGATTCGCCACAAGTCTCCTGTTAACTTTCTATTCGACAAATGCCCCGTCAATCAATCTGGAGTGAGTCGTACTACCTGAAACACGACACAAACAGGCAGCACTCAGGACCAATCGGCTGCCACGACTTACATTTAACTTTTAAAAGCTAGTCGGTCGTTAGTGGTAAAACAAAACTTAACATATTATGAAGAGGTAACGGATAACTTTCAGATCAAAGAAATACATCGCCCTGTCAGTTATTCAGAGTTATCAATATATCAGTGTCATTTTGTGTGTGAATGTGAAATAATATTAGCTAGTGTGCAGACTTTTAAACCATAAAACTGCTCTATCAAACATCAGCCAGGGACCACTGCTCCCTTTCTAGCACAAGTACAAATGATTTAAACTGCTTAATGCTTAAAGTAAATATTTGACACAGTCATAAGAAGTGAACTGAAAAATAACACAAAGCAACATGGTTAAACTAGAAAAGGTAATTTATAAAAGGTTGACGCTAAACTGCATAGCTAGCTTTTATTTGTATGAAGAACCAGCTGAAAGCTTATGAAGAGCTGGAAAAGTGTGAAAGGGTTTAATTAGTATGAATGGGATGTAAAGGTTATATAATGTTCTGATAATGTACGAACGATGGGGAACTTTAAATGAGTTTCTAGCTGAAAGTATGAATAATTAAATTAAGCTTGAAAATGCTTGAAAACGTATACATTGTTGTGAGTGTGTGCTTGCCTGTTTTACACACACATATGAGTACATAACAGAGAGCAAGAAGATTGAAAGATATGTGTGAAGTGCCTTGACCTCAGTGTACAAGGAGTTGAGGTTCCCTTTGTGTTTGTTGGAGTAAGAATAACACATCAGCTGAGAGTTGAACTGTAAGCACTATAATGAGCCAAAGTGAACTAAATGGAGTGGAAATGTTAATGACCATGTGTCTCTGTGTGTTATTGTTATAACTAACACATCTGTTGCTACTGTGAGATACTTTATGTAATGATAGTTTCACAAGCAGTTTTATCAGTCAATCTCCAACTGATTTAAGTGCACACACATATATAAAAACAACAGAAGTACTATTACTATTTAAACTATTATAAATGCTTTAGGTGGATCCCTTCAAGATACATCAGACATGCTATGTTGCAATATAATCTCATTTCAATATGTTTATAGTAAAGTACAGCAAAATATATAAATACAAGCAGTGAAGTCACTGAATCTGATAAATTTACTGTGTTTTGTGTTGTTGAGTAATAGGAAACATTAATTGTGAGTGACTATGAGTTAACAGTGGGAGTCAAGCATAGAGGCGGTGCTGTTTCCCCAGTTTATACATTGACCTCTTCAGCTGTGGCAGTCCCTTCTGCCCGGGCTAAAGTTGAAGTAAAGCATGCTGAAGCATTCACACTAATAAAGAGCAAATGAAACACTTCTAAAAGGACACTGGGGCATGCTGATGTACCACAGAAGACCAGATATGGGAAACTAAACCTGTGATACATAGCCCACATGAGGGCAATGTCCGTATGACTGGAATTTTAAATTGCTGATATGTTAAAGGTATTTGGTTTATCAACTAATGGACTACTAAGGAAAGAGAAACAAAATAAATAATGGGTAAAGGACTTTTTGGGTTTTTTTTAATCGTGTTGGTCTACTGATGGCTATCTACTTGCTCTAATGTGCCAAGTAAAGCAGTGATAAGGATAGCTTGGCATCCTCAATCATTCTGTTTCTCATTGCCTAAAATGGAAAAAAATTCTATGGAGAAACAAATGCAGATGCTTCCACGCAGTGCACTGCACGGTACAATTAAGCCGTTAACCTCCAATGTTGTTCTGTGGCATGTATGAAAATGTTGAGCAGGTCCAGTTGATTCTGATTTTGTATCAAGATTAGAGGATAACATTGGAAGAGGGTTCATTGTTGGGGCAGTAATGGAAGGAGCTTCAGTCACAAAGACTGCTCAACTGGAGATTGTTTCAATAGGAACAGTGACTAAAGGGACATCTGCATTTTAGATCTATGGAAGACACAGAATCAGATATTGTAGTCGTCAGCACACATTTGATGACTGATGCTCATGCATTAGAGCAATATGTAAGGAAAAAGAAGAGAGCTACTCTTCTTCAGACTCTGACTCAAAAGGTCACTGCAGGACGTGATCAGACTGTCACTGCAGACCAATACAAAGTTGTTTTGAATGATCACCTTTATCCTGTAATGAAACATCTCCATCCTGATGGGCATGGTCTCTTCCAGGATGACATCAGGGCACAAGAGGTCAGTGAATGGTTTGATGAGTATTAAAATGAATCATATGCAGATGAGATCTCATCCCAACTGAACACCTTATGGGAGATTTGGTACCAACCTAGACTCTCCTCCACCATCATTAACCAAATGAGGGAACATCTTTTGGAAGAATGATGTTCATTCCTCCAGTAGATTTCCAGGGACGCTGTTCAGGAGGCATATACTAAGACACTTTATGTTGGTATTTACTTTTATTTGTTACCTGTCTGTGTATTGCAAATAATTACATAATAACAAGTATTCCAGTGGCTGTCTTAAAACCATAGAGACAGTTATGACCAAAAAAGTCTCCTCTGTTTTCCACATAATTTCTAAAAGCATAGGGACCGGATGAGGATCATTTTCCCTCTCTGCAGGGCTGGAGGGAAAACCATAAAAAGAAAGATTTAAGGAAACAGAGCACTGGGAGAGGAGGTATGTGGGTCACCTTTTGTTTTACATCTGTAATCACCTCTTTTCTACAGCACCAGGGGGAGATGAAGAGCTTTGAAAAGCTTTGAAATAGAGAGCGAGAGACGAAAGAAGCTTCCAGACTTTGATTTCTGTGTCTTATTAGACACCTCCTAAGTCATGAGACTAGGATATAGGTCAGGGATGCTTTTGGGAACATACTGCTGCAAAGACTAAATGCACAAATGCCCATGTATGCACATATATGCTGTGTGCATACATGGGCATTCACATGCAAAACTGTACATGCATGCACTCCTAACACTGTTGGTTATCTCCAGGTCACTCAGTACTGATGAATCTTTGTCAGGGGTCAAAGTTTGTGTGTAACATAATTGGAGCAACAGATTAAGCAAATACTGTGTTGAGTTAATTATTGGACGGATTGGCATGAAATCTATCACCCTTTTTACTACCCAGAAGGGGAATCTTGGTGACATTGGTGAAATCCAATACTCTAATTCATAACAAATACCTCTAAAACTAAAGACTGTTTACTTTCATAACATTAGCATGTTAATAACCTTTGGGTTAAATACACATTTTCTCATCATCTCATAATTTGGTAGATCTTACTTACATCTACCAAAATGACCTCCTCTGCCTGACAATGCTCAATGGTAGATAACTGATTTACTTACATATTTATTTACTGGGTACATGACAATTGTTCTTAGAAACACTGGCAAATGCCATCTTACATTTTGTGGTGCAAATGCTTTAAATCAGTTGCTACTATCAATCCTAGCTGAGTCTGACGTGTCCTAAAATGGCCACTTTGCAGATGATGAACCCTTTTGTTTTAACACGACCCTGTCTCTTGATTTTTCATCTAACCAAAATGTTTTGTTTGCCTTTAGACTTTCTGTTTTGTTTTATGTGTCAGAGTCGTCAAAATGCATGCAAAGTGCATGGATGTTAGTTCTGAGACGGAAACTGTACACACAATAGCAGCAATTGGTTGCTTACCATAATGTTCTCCCGGCTGTGGGTGGAATCACTAAGCAGATACTTTCAAATTGGCAAAGAAGAGTCTTGTTCCAAAGCAAATATTGTACCAGATATTAGTCATGGTGACCTGTGCACATCATAGCCTTGCCAAGATAGATCTTGTTCATGTCACTGAATGGGACAGACTTCATTTAGTACCATCTGGAAAACCTTTTGTCATAGTACTGACCCTAAAAATAAATCCTTCTGTCCACACAGACCGCTTTCTTGGCTTGTGTTTGTATTACAAACAAGGCAGAGAACTGGCTTGTTTTAGGAACATTTTCTACTTGTTTTGGGACATTTTGTAATATTGTGGCACTTCTAGATTGATTCAATCTGGTGCACCCAGTTAGGAAATACACCAAATAAAATCAAAATATGATGAACACAGAATAAAAAAGTATATTTATAGGTATATTTCTCAATACAAAAGCCTTAAAGTTGTGAATTATGGACAGACAGATTATCAGAGCAAAATAAAATGAGCAAGTTATTTTCTGTTAATTGACAGGCTGATAAAGTGCTTTTGCAAGAGCAGGATATGCTTTCTACATATTAAGCGAGCAACATGTATTGTTTGTTTCATGCTAAGTGACATTTCTTACATGTATCAGTTGTCTCTATCTTGACGCCCAGTTTGTCCTATAGTGGTCTGGGATTCATAATAAAAGACAATTATGCACACACCTTAAACAAATTGTGGCATGGCAATTAATCTTAGTCAGGGATTATAAATGTCCAAATATTGTCTGTTTTTATGTTACAAAGTTGTAAGTTCCTCTTTCACATGTTACACATCAAACAGTGCCAGACTAATTCTCAGAAGAATCGAGAAATGGAATCAGATTTAGTGTTAGTTGTTATTTTGAGTAAATTTAATAATTTACTGTTCTCATGGAGATAAATAGTTCTCACTGCAATCCCACTAGAGTCCACACTTGCTTTTGGAAAATTGACTGTTGATGTATATTGTATATCCCCTGTATTGTCAGTCCTGTGTGTTCGTATTTAAACATTTTACATTGTGTTTTTTGTTCACTCATTATTCACAGCTTGTGTTTGGTGGTCCCTATATGCAGTAAATCATAATGTAGATAAGAACAGTAAGTGATTTGAAGAAGAAATAAGAAACATATTAAGTATATTGTACTTTTTTTAAAAAAAGGAAGGAAGCAGGTATTTTACTTAAAAGAAGAGTATTCCATTAAAACTTCATCATCTACATTTAGCATTTATTATAAAAGTATTTGTTATTCTCTTAGACTGGCACAGACTGCTTCCTACAGATTCTTATATAATCTACTTTTGTAGTCTTCAAATGTTGATCCCATGCATGAGATACACCTGCGTTTTAGACAAATGTGCATTTGTGTCCGTCGGCTCTGTCTCATCTTGTCTGGCTAGTCAGACTCCAACTGAGTCCTAAAAGCAATCAGTTAAATCTTAAAATCAACAGGAAGCAAGTGTAGAAGAGTTCAAAGAGGGGTCTTGCAACCCTGTGACGTGCACAGTGCCTTTGTGAACAATGTGACAGCAGACAAAACAGCATAAAAGGGCAATCATCTGTTAAACTGAACCTGTACAGACACTATATGTGATCTTGTTAAAGTGTTTTTTTCCTTTAATGTAACTGGGATGCCAAGATGTTTTAAAGGCAGACACCAGGCTTTAAATTTAGCCTTTGACTTTTCATTTTGAGGCAAGAAACTTCACAAATCGTAGAAATCTGTCATTCTGGGCCAATTTGTATTTCCAGCTCTAGGAAACTAAGCATCTTTCAGGCAGTAGAATCAGAGAGTGGAACTAATTAGAAAGGAAGTATCCTCATATATAAGACTTGGTGGGAAAAAAAATATAGGATGCGTAAAGTGGAAACATGAACTGAGGTCATTCCAGCACATAATGACAAATATTTTTCTTATTTAACTCTCTGTCGCTTTCTCAAAACTGTTAAGCACTCTTTAGCAAAATCTCAGTGACGCAAATGCTTCCAGAGTTACGCTGTTGAACATAAAAACAGGCCGTAATTCTGCTGTGGATGTGGTTAAGTATGACAGCTCTACAAGCACTAGACAAACAATGACTAATGTGTGTGTTTGTATGAGAGATGAGGAGAGAGGTATGGAGACTGTTCATGTGCTACCAGCTGGTCATTGTCCATACTCCCTATTGGCTGGGAGAGGGGCAGTTGAGCTTTGTTTCATGTCACGCAGCAGCAGGGTCAGGGTTGTCAGTTTGTACGTTCATGATGAATGATGTTGGCATTTATCTTGCACTAAAATATGAGAGTGCATATATTACTGCAAAAAATATAAAAATAAGTGTGTGCACACATTAATATGCATGAAGATTCTGTATTTTTCATCCAGTACCATGAAAAGACCCAAACCAACATTGATTTGATCCAGACAAGTATCCCATATGTAGTCTAATGTGGCTTATTCCTCTGTGCCATACTTTAATTGTTGTCCATAATCTATTAAAGGTTATATATGTCAAATTAAGTAAAAGTATTAAAAGTGGTTTAAATACTTTTTATGTATTACTTTTTATTACCAATCTGTGAACAAGTTGTAACATAACTTTAAAAAATGCGTTTTTATGTAGGGATACAGGTCGGATTTCCCGTAAAAATCCAATATCCAAAGGATGTGATGTTGATGTGTGCTCCCGAGCGTCTTTTTCTCTCCACTTCCCTACAGTGTGCAGCACTAGCTATCAGCTTATAAATAGAGCCCGCAAATGACCGGTCAAACAGTCAAACACAAAGTCCAAACAGGCGGCACCAGATAACGTTATTCAGCGTGGCTGGGTTGCAGCTGGCTGGCTAACCTTTAACTTTATTACTAGCAAAATACTATCTGAGTGGTTATGTTAGTTCATGATCACGATCTATGATTCAGGGTAGGTATTATGACAAACGGTGTTAATTGTAACCAACAATAAATTATGTAATGGTACAAAGTAAACGATTGCTTTCTACTAGCCAAGAGCAATCAAGGCAGGGACATCGACGACATTTGAACTAGCTAACTGTAGCCTAAGCTTAGCTGTGGTTGGCCGGCTGGTTGTGGCTTGGCTGCACGGTGTGGCTCTGGCATTGGTTGCTTTGTGGAAGCTAGTCAGTAGCATGGAGTCAATGGTTTAAATAAAATCTAAGAACATTGCAGATAGTAATGTTATTCTAAATATGAATGTAATTTATTTTCCAGCATTCAGCGTTTATTTAAGCGCTCAGTCTTGTGTATGTCACTTTTGGCCGAAAGTGTTGAGAGATGCATTGACGTATTGTTGGATTTAGCTCTATTAGATTTGCTAAAAATAAGAAAAATATAGAATAACACCAGCCTTATCCTTAACTGTGAATGGTGACCTCCTCTGCTATCCCTTTCTGCCTCATAAACACTGATCTCCAAATCTTGGTCCCTTTGTGATTACATCTCCTCACAGAACCCACATCACATTTCAAATCTTAAGCCCTTGTACCTCTGGAGAGAACGTCTCTCTCTCTCTTTTAGTAGATTTACTTAATCAGATTCTATTTTTAGTCAAGCCACATGCAACCCAAGCAGGTTCTCAACAAAAGCCCCTGCAGCCCTGTCTCAGTCTGCAACACGCTGCTGACGGATGGAAGTCATGCACCACGTTTCACTTGTCACCGAGTGGATTAGGAGAGTAGGGTTATTAGCAACAGGAGGGATGGCTGCAGTGGATCTCTGTGAGGCTCCAGAGGGTACTTATTTCAGGGTGGTTGTTGTGGCTGAGTTCACTGATGGCAACCTGACATTAAACCTGAAAGTGCGTCACCAACTGAGCAAGTATGCAGTAGACACAGCTCATGTATTGCGTGTTTAGATATGGGTCTGACATCAGTTTATTTTAACAATAACAATGGAGATGGACAGCCTATAAAGGCTACACATCACTTCCCACTGCCTCGTCCTCCTTTATGTATTACTGATTTTGTCCTAAGCTTTTCTAAAGGCACTTTATCACTGTCTCTGTCATACATCAACCTTTTAGGATCAATAATGTTCTCTCAGATCCATTGTCTTGGTGCTGAGACTTTTGACCTTTGCATGTCTAGTCATTGTTTACTTGTATTAGTTTCTATCTGTTTCACTGTAGCTGACTGAATGTAAATCAGGTTGGATAACTGTGTACAACTCAGTCTTCACACAGCTCATTGCTGACTAATAATATTTTGTTTCAACAACTGTACTTACTAAAAAGAAATAAAAAGTTAAATGAAAATAGAAAATCACTCAAGATACTTGAAAATATTTATTAAAGTACATAATAACAAACATTGTAATATATGTATAAAGTAAAACAAATATACAGTATAAAGATTATGATTTTCTTTGAAAGTCAACATGACTTCAGAAGTCAGAAAGAGCAATAAAATATCACATCTACAACTCCACTTGGTTATGAACAAAATAAGAGAATAAATAAAGATGTTTAGAAAGGCAATTTTTGCTCAGGAATTAAAACAAGAGCAGAGATCTCATTCACTGTGAAGCTGGAAAACAAGAGCTTGAAGTCTTGACAAAGCTTTGTAATGGTAGTCTACCGCTTCAGTGACGGCCAGGTCACTCTGTATGCTCAGTACATTGCTTAGTCAAGGTATGTACAGCATGGTAAGTCACAATACTAATGTATTTCAAGAGTCCTTTCTATTGTGACTGGTCACGTAGAAAACTCTGGGTTGAAACAAAAATACCTATACAACTTCAAAGTGGAAAAATATCAACCATCTTTTGTCATTCAAGTTTTTCCTCAAAGACATCTACAGTAGAAAAGGAATACATTTGAAAAGTGGTGTGTTCAACACTGGGTCATCTGCTACTTTTTCACTCATCATATCTATACAGCAGTATACGCAGCCTGAGGCACTGGTAGACATCCTTACAGATATGCATCAAGTGCATCTTCAAGCTACATACTGTATGTTGATATGTTAGTATATATTAAATGCAGAGTTTTGTATAACAGCAGCAGCTTACACACACGCGCAGCCAGTTTGGTTCAGTTCAGTTGGCCTTCATTTGAAGCGGCGTCAAGGAGAAGCGAGGAACATGGGGGCCAGGAGATGTGGGCATGTCACACCACTTATTGGGTGGAGTCGGAGTCACTGGAGTCCAGGCTGGCCTGTGTTGGTGTGGGGGTGCAGCTGTGATGGGCAGCCGGTGGGCAATGGAGGGTCTGTGTGCTCCGCCGCAGGTTCTCCAGGGACTGCAAGAAGGAACGACGTGCCCTCTCCTCCTCCAGGGGTGAGGAACCTTCCTCTTCTACCTCTGCAATCTCAGCAAAAGTGACAGGCTGCGTTTTGAAGCGAGCCTCGCGAGATCGGCGGGAACGGCTCTTGCCCCTTGCTGGGCCCTTGGGGACAGGCAGCTGCTGGGGGAACTCCTCCATGGCTGATGCCATAAGGTGGGCCGGCAGGACGTGGAAGCCCGAAGCCTCCATAACCATCTGACGCACAGCCGCCATTGGTAGAACAGAAGTGTGAACAGCTAGAAGAAGAACAAACTTGTCTTCCCTTGCTCTTTCTGGTGCCTTGTCCGAAGTTTGTCCAATGTCAAGCCAAACAAACACTCCTCCAAGTCCAGGCACACTTAAGATAACCAGTCTTAAAGAAACTGCTCTAATGCTGCTCTGGTCAGCCTCTGCTCTTCACTCCTCAGTGTGAGTGTGTCTGTTTCAACTCTGCTGCTGCCTGACGTCTGTTTTCTCTCTGGCTGTTTCTCGTTTTGTGTGGGTGAATATCAGTCTGCTGAGGCTAATGCCACAGACAACTCCAGCTCTCTCTTTTATAGCAGCTCACTACCCACTCAATGTTTGCCTCTCTCTCTCCCTACTTCCTACGTTTGCCAGGTCCCTCCCACTACCCTCCTTCCCTCTCCGTCATGGTTCCGGCCTTCGGAGCAGTCAGTCAATCAGTCACCCCACCAAAATAAACATGTGAGGAGAGAATATCTGTGTGTGCCTGAGTATGTGCTTGGGTGTGTGCGCTTTAACATGTTTGTGCGTGTGTGTGTGGGGGGGGGGGGGTGTCAGAAGCAGAGGGAGAGAAGACACTCGAGACAAAAATGGAGACCTAAAATGGAGTGACATATTCAGAGCGAGTCTGGCAGAACAGAGACATTAGAGAACTAGAGCAGGGAGAAAAGTGGACCAAACCAAAGTCAAGGTGGAGAGACTCAAATGCAGGACAGAGTCCTTGGGACAGACAACAGACACAGCTCTGCAAGAAATAACTATGTTTTGTAAAGCTTATAATATAAGACAGTTACAGACATTGATTGAACTCTGTGGCAATTTTTCTGTCTGTGAGTTGTGGTGTTTTTGTACCACATTGTATTATGTTGGAAGATGTGTCTTATGTATTGCCACATGTGTTTCACCAGATTCAGGGAGTTCAGTTTTGCCTGAAGCCTGAGTGAGAGTTTGAGTTGTAGTTCAGATGCGGCAGATATTTGGAATTTCTTTATGGCACAAAAAAAAGAGAATGATGTTATTTCAGCATAACTGAATTTAAAGTTTACAGAGTTTTCTGCCATCACAACTGGTATTATTCCCATGACACATTTGGCATCTGTCACATTCATAGACAACCACAAACCACCAAGGTTGCAATGTTATGGAAGTGCCACAGTGTACAAGTTTTTGTACCGAATGAACTCTATTAATATTACAACATTTTATCACACTGAAGTCCAAATGAATACGGGAAAATATCAGTGACAAGCACATGAGCAATGCCTCGGAGGAAGAGACAACCTTTGTTGTTTTGACTGAAACCCACCGGGGACTGTAAAAGCGATAAATCATTTTTACTATGGCCTATTTGTTTGTGGTACAAAACACACCACAATTCATTTTGCAATGGCATATTTAGGTCACATTATATCATCTTAAATTCAATCATATGTTACACACAAAAAACTTGATGGGAGAACAGGAGGACCGATAGGTCATAGATGGTCACACAGGATGTTCAGCCTTATGTAGTCAAAGTCACAGTAAACAAGGAAACAGATACACAAACAATCAGACTCATCAGCAGTACCAGTATCATCCAACATCATCATCATCATCTTAACATAATGATGTAATGGCTAAATTTATCAGTGTCACTGCTGATGACAGCTTGGCTGGGTCGGTTACATTGACACTGCGGCTGAAACCATCCCAATGCAGATTTGTTCTCACACATGTGACACAGGTCAGATGTGTTCTGATCAGAGTGTCATAAATCGGTGTCACATTTTCTCAATTCTAATCCGAAACATTAATTTTTGATACAAAAGCCATTCAGCCCTCTTGTGACTCTAATTTTAACACTCAAGACAGAAATCTTCACTGCTTCCAGGAAAATAAGCAACTCTTGTTTCTGCACCTCGGCTCGCTCAAAACATATCCTACCATCTAATGAGGGAAACATCTGTCATTATTATTATCATATTATCATTAGTTTAATTTATGCTTAGTCTCTTTCACTTGACAGAGATGGTTGTTACGTGTTACATCTATTGCTATCACATACAGTAATGTCATGGGTGACATCAAGGACTGACGCACATAGTAGGTGTGATAGGATAGTTCAATGACAGTGCAATACAAACAAGTCTGTCAAATGAAGTTTTGCTTACTACTCATAGTATATGAACCGTCATATATGTAGCTTCATAAAATTAACTTTTCAAATGCACATACATAAAAGCAGGGTGATAAGTCAGTGACATACGCCTAAAGATCGTATCATAATCCATTATCGATGTCAGTGTCACAGTGGGCAAGGCAACATGTACACAAACACCACTTTTAGTATGACCAACAGCAGCATGTACCTACATCATGCATCTTACAATCAGTCGCACTGAGGTGGCAAATTATTTGCATTTCAAGGGTTGACCTCATGGGCATTCCTTTTCACGAGTGACATTATGGTCTAAAATGGCTCGCCCGCTCCATCATGCATTCCTTGGATGACACCAAGGAGGGTCATCCCGTTTCTTGACACACACACACACACACACACACAGCGGGGTTGTAAGTCGTGGATGTGAACTTGCAAATACCCCCATGCTCTATTTTGAGTATACCTAAGGTCACCCACGAAGCCAGCAGCTGCCAGTTAACAGTGACATCACATGACATTTTTGTCTCCTTTTTATATCATCATATGAGAGAGAGTGTGTGTGTGCGCGTGTGCATGCATACATCTATGTGCTTGCTTGACTTTTCATTTCATATCATTACCCGTTTGATTTAGCATACGTGCTTTATGACATGCTTGCAGGGAATGAGAAATATATTGAACAGGACGTTAGTAGGCCAAGAGTTGTGTGTGTCCTTGGGGATGTCTTGTTTTCCTAAAAGACCCTGCCAAGGCTGCATGTGTTGTACACAAGGACATGGTTTGGCAAAAACAATCCCCTGAAAAACATCTGCACTGCAATCATCTTTCAATTGTGTGGTTAAACATTTCACTCAAACGGAAGAAGTGATTATCCATGTTTTTCCATATTTTCCCTTGCTTGCTTTGTAAATTAAAGCAGTTATGTGTTTTTTTATATAATTTCAGAATCTTTCAAATTATTTTGTTGGCACAAGTTTGTGTTTGTAAAAAAAGAGGAAATCCTGCTGAAAATCCTTTGCCTTTGCAGGCTGCCACAGTGTCTTTTCTGATACTATCAAAGGAGTCGGCCAAAGTCAGAAATGTTTAAATCCTTTGATAACAAAAAAAGTCATACAAAATGTAAATTCAACAGATGTCCAGTGTTTTAGCTCCAATGTTCATACAAAATATAAAATGCTTGTTGGATGGAAAAGTCACATTTTTGGCACTTTTTGGCAGTATTTGAGTAGATGAATGTTTCCCTACGTCCAAATGGGTCAGTGAGTAAACTGGCAATAATATAATGTGCTCAAAAGAAGTTTCCATTTATCTTGGTTTCTTTGTTTCTAGTCCATACAACATAGGTATTTACTAGGCCTCACATATAAAGCAAAAATCTTAGTACTAACTAAAACCATGATAATATCCTAATACGACTACTTCATGACTTAGCCTCTTTTAGTCAATTTAAAAAACACTGTTGCACAGATAATCCTGGGTGCTGTATTACTCTATGCAACAGCTGATGGCATTTCGAGGAGAATACTTCCAGCAGGGAGCATGGGCAGAGGCAACTGAGAAATAATCCCCTCCAATCATCTGCTTGATCACTAACACCACCCTTGTCCCGCCCCGGACACAAACACAGCTTTTTAGCCTTGTTTAGCTTACGGGCATTACTGCCCTGATGAAGCAACGCTGCAACCTGCCAAACACCAAGATAAACAAGTTTAATTAGCCAGCAGGAAGTGCCTTGAAACTTTATCCTAATTTTGAGAACCATGAAAACGATGCCACTATGTCACTGATATAAGTCCCACATGCTCGCAAAAGATGCTATAAAAATAAACTTAAACTCTTATTTGCTTGCAGTAGTAGTTAAACAAGGGCATCATAATTTGATTATGACATACTGGTGTTTAAACAATGCTACACCTACAGCTGTGCCTTTTAAAGGTGCTGACAACAGCATATTCCAAATCAGATCTTAACTGGAATACGAGCCAGTAACAGAGACACAATATGTTTATAAATATAACTGGTTACGAAACATGGTGGGTAACAAGGGCACCAACTGGAAAAGGAATCAGATGGAGTCATTGTCATTAACAAGCAGTCTCAACTTTCACTAGATTCCATTTCATTGGTGTGTTAGTGTGTGTATACAGTATGGGTGTGTGTAGTTGGTGTGTGGCAGGTAGAGTTTCAGGGCTAAATGTAATGGATTAGTATACGGGCTGACAGTATAATTGGCATAGACTTCACACTGACAGAGATGTACTTCATGATAAGGATTCTGCATAGTTGTCTCCATATAGAATAGATTTCAATTATCATACCTTAAAATGCATTGCTAGCATTATTACATCTCACTGCATGTCCTTTAGTGCAGCTTACTCACTGACAGTGTGTGCTAAACCAAAGACAGACTACACAACAGAAATAATATGGTAAAGAAATCTGACTCATCAAGTGAAGCTTTGTTCAAAGGTTAGACACAAAAGTTGGAAATAGAGCAGCAGAATCAAGTGGATTGTGCAGGGCAACAGTACTTACAGAACCAAGTCTAGAAGTATGAAGACTGTATTTAATGTATGTAGTTGTATTCAGAATTTGAAAATGTGATCAGAGAATGAAGCCTGGTGATTTTTCTGATCCCCTGACTTCCTATAGTGTCACCAGCAGGTAAAATATTTAATGTATCCTGTGAAATATCTCACAAAATCATGTGCCAACCTTGATTTCTCTCGAGAAGACGAATCCTACTGAGTTTGGTGATCCCCTGACATTTCCTGCAGCACCAGCATAAGGTTGAAGTGACATGATTCAACAAGTAGTATTATTATAAGGTCAAAATATTTCCAGTATTGTGGTTTATGATTAAATACCTGCAAAAGTAATGACATTCCCATCAGCCTCAGCAGTATTTTGTGTTTAGCATTAATTATTAGGCTATCACTTCGTGGTCTTCTTTATTTAAATTTACAGTCTTCTACTGCATTTGCCGAACAATTAAAATGTAGTGTAATAAAGTTTAGGTCATACTGCTCAGTCCTACATTCACTGTCATTAGTTAAATCACACCACGGCCCCAGGAGGTAGACAGACAAGAACTGTGTGTTTATCTGTGTACACTGTCAACAAGAAGAGTGCATCAAAACAGCAGGAGTACACAGAGTATGAG